TTTAATTAAATATTTTGAAATCCCATTTCAACCACAATCCTTAGATGCATTGCCATAGATACTAAAGTCAACAAAAATACAGTGCAAATCTATTCCGTATTCTCTACATTTTGAAGAATTTGGCGCATGTAAAAAATTTTTAAGTATGTGGATTTTCCTTTTTTAAAACCACATTGAAATTCTCCCGAAATATGTTCAACCAAAGGAGGCAACCTTCCATATAAAATGTTAGAGAATACTTCATAAGTAATATTTAGTAGGCTGACGCCACGATAATTGGAACAAATTGTAGTGTCTCCTATTTTGCAAATAAGATGATAAACTCGTTTTTTCTTTTTATGTGTATGTTACTGTGAATAAATTGGTGGTTGTTGACAATCATATAGTCTCGTTGGTAAATGTCCGAAATATAAACTAGTTAAGTGCCACGGCCCAGTTCGCATTCCACCGGTACCCCGAACACTGATGTTTCTCCTAATCTATCCTCAGCTAATATTAATATATCGAATAAACATAATATCAACCAACGACTAAATTAATATCATTTCGTACATTCACCAAAGCGGCTATGTGATTGTTGACATTCACCGGTGAAAGTCGACATTCTCTCGATTTCGGTCATTCACGGTAACATGTATACCACTAGCTCATTTGCATTTTTCAATCGGGATAAGCTTTTTTTTTTTCAGTGGCTAATCTGCACTTATTGTCAAACCAGTTTTTCGTATCGATTTTTCATCAGGTCTTAGAGCCTTATCAGCAAGATATGTTTAACCATTTGCCGTTGCGATTCCACATTCACAAAATTGCGTTTTTTGCCCTTTATTTCCTCCTTAAACCGGTTTCCTTATCTTTTAAATTTGAGTAATAAAATTAGCTGACATTTTCTTCATATACTTCAGAAGTTAGATATTTTTGCTCTTAATTTAAAAACTCCAAAACTAATTATCAGTATCAATGATAGCATCTCGAATGGTCCTCACATCCGTAAGATTAGAGCGATGTCTGTCAACTATCAAAGCATAATTCATCTGATTAAAGGTGTTAGTTAGGCTATCGCCATGTCATCTTATTGCATTATTTTGTGTCGAAATATAGTGCTTCAAATAAATACACCATGCTCCACTGTAAAATTAATGAGTCTGATTCCCTTTTTGCTTGTACTGTCCTGCAAACATGCTATTCAATGACAGATTTAAACGTAGTCAAATTATTCACCAAAAAATATTTTTAAGCACTTTAAAAAAATAAAAAATATAATTAGGCAGGGTTGGAAAGTTTTTGACAATTGACGGTTTTATCTTGTTTTAACCGTCATGTAAAAAAAAAAAACCTTTTGGCATTGTTTTTGACAATTGACAAAAATTTTGAATCACGTAAAACGAATGGTGTTTTTATACGTTTCGGACCGACAATATGCCGAAATAGATTGGGGTTGAATTAATTATGAAAACGTTGAATAGAACAATGTGAACTGTGTCTTTTTGCATAATTCGAAGCGAAAATCAACAGGATAAAAGAAAATTTTCATTTTGAAAAAGGGAAAATTAAGCACTTTTTAAAAACACCCAATGAAAAAAGCACCTTTAAGGGCTTTTAAAAAACGAAAATAAGCACCTTTAAGCACTTTTTAAAAACGCTACGCACCCTGCCATGTCATGTTATTGTACTATTTTGAGTCAAAATATAGTGTTGTAAATAAACACATTATGCTTCACTGCAAAATTAATGAGTCCGATTCCCTTTTTGCTTGTACTGTCCTGCAAACATGTTATTCAGCGACAGATTTAAACTCATTTTCAATTCCTATATCGTCTTTATCCTCTAACACTATAGTTATAAAACAAATCCCTGATTCTCAATCCACTATGTCATTTAGTCTTAAAATCCATTTCATCCGTTGAGGCAATGAGTCAAGCTCCAAATTCTTTCAAGCTGTATGGCGAGGCATCAGATGAAGAGTAAACACCCTGGTCCTCCAGGTTGGGCTGACAACCCCACCTTGTAAAATATCTCCTGTTGCATAATCTGAAGAATGAAAAACCGCACAGATTTCTCGAAAACGACTGAGAACAATTTAAGGATATGAAAGCTGGAATAAACATGACGCTCTACAACAGTCAGGCACTTAAACGAATTCATATAGTATTGACCTGATTGCTATCCAGAAGATGAGATAGTTTGTCTAAGGAAACAACTCCCCTCCCCTCGCCGGCTGTCTACTGCTATGGAAACAAAAAATAGCGCATTTCAAAGAGGAGAGCTCCTTTCTCTAGCTGACCCAAGCTAAAACTTGTCTTTAATCATGCCCAACACCCATACTTGAAATAGTTTAACCTCGTAACCATAGTCGCCGCCATTACTTCAGACAAATGACTTGGAAAGTTCTTTACATAGACAAACTATAGATTGGAGAGGGTTATCTGGAAGATAAAAACATACTCTTTGTTTTATAGCTGTGCTCCTATGAAGCACATTTTTAAAATAAGATTCAAATTAGCACCACCTAAAATTTTCTCGAAAACCCCACTGTTTAAATAGAAGTTAGTTGGCATGTATTTCAAAACGAAGAAAATTTTTTTTAAACATTCTTAGAGGAATAATAATAAAAAAAATACAAAATGGAGACTACAAATGCACTAGCATAAAAGCTGACAAAATGCTCGGGGAGAGAATTTAGAGCTAAAGGAACCATATGTTCCTTGACGGATTTTCGTCTTCAGTTCATCTCAAGAACAGAATTTACGAGACGGTTTCCATCAGTTCTTGATAAATTTTAAAGCAGAAAATCCGCAGACTTTGAAATCTTCCTTATTGGGAAATCAGACTGCTAGCAAAAGAAAAGAAATCGATTCACAGAAAACTCTTTAAACAAAACTAAAATTTTTAAAAAACATTTTACTTCAGTTGGGAACCATTGCTGTAGAGTGTCAGCGGCTGTAGAGTGTCAGTAACTTAAAGTGTTTTACTTTTTTAATCTAAGCTTTGAATAATTACTTTCTTGAGCCAGTTGGGCAAATGATTCTTTTTTGTCTTTACAGAATGACAGATTTCAGTGTACCTAGACTACCAATCGACATAGCTGCCAAGTCTACTGGATTTTCCAGTATACTACTGTATTTTGCCAGTTTCTCCTGGTCTACTGGTTTAATAAAAATACTCCCGATTTTTGAAAATTCCCTGAAGTTTCTTAAAAAAAAAAAAAAAAAAAATCTGCATTGAAATAGAATTTTTGCTCAGATTATTGCTTGCTTGAATATTTAAATATGTGTTACTAATACATAATAAAGCGAATCTCATTTATCAGTCTAAAATTTTTAGTTTATTTTTATTTAGAACTCCCTTTTTAAATTAATTTAAAAAATCGTTTAACTATCTTTGATGAATTAAATGCCTATTACTAATCAAAATTATGAGTTTATATAATACATAACACTTCAAGTTAATTTAATGTTATTCATAACTGGAAAATATTGCAGATTTTGTTTTGATGACTATAAAAATCCCTAAAATTCCCTATATGTAAAATATTTAGTACATTTTGCAAAAATTGTCATGAAATTTATAATATTTTGTAAAATCTACTGGATTTATTCCTATCCACGTTGGCAGCTATGAATAGAGCTTCTCAGCAGTTCTTCTTTATTTCATTGTGGAAGCTGAGTAACTCAGTACCCCTATGAGGCTATCAAAGCTCAAATTCTATAAATTGATGAGGTATAATTCATATACTACTCCCAGTTCACACTGATTTATAGTGTATGTGAAAATTATTCCCTATATGGTAGACGATGGGCAAGTGTTTCCATGATGTTGGGCTAACTGTAGAAAGTTTTCATAGATTTTCTATTCATGTATACAAATATGGGTTAGTTTTACGCAACAAGTCCTCCATAAAGGCGAATTAGTTCTGATGCTTATTAGTCCAGGAGTTCTTTTGTTTTCTATATTGAACATGATGCATCAAGTTTTGATTGCTGTTCAACCTCAGCAAAAAAAAAAAGCTGGGTAGATTTCTAATTATGATTTAAAACTAATTCTAACCAAATGTATTAAGATTTTTTAACAATCTTGTTTTAAGAAAAGCATTCATATTTGTTTTTCTCTATATTCATCATTTTAAATGCTCACTTTACGTTGCAACATATTCAAGTTTTTAGATAATTTTAAACACTGATTTTAACTGTCAAAATTTCATCCATGAAAGTGATAACTGATTTCTGAATTAAAAAAAGTAGGTTTTCTTTTTAACTTTCAATTTCTTAAAACAATTAGGTCAAATTAAATGAAAATTTAGATTAATTTAATATTTCATAGTTTCAAATAATGCAAAATTTTGAGTTCCAAACATCACTAAGTTATTCTGTGATGTAAACAAGTTTCATAATTTTTCTCTCTATTATTTTGAATTAGCTCAAATGATGGTGATGATGGATAAATCATAATTAGAAATCTACCCAGCTTTTTTTTTGCTGAGGTTGAACAGCAATCAAAACTTGATGCATCATGTTCAATATAGAAAACAAAAGAACTCCTGGACTAATAAGCATCAGAACTAATTCGCCTTTATGGAGGACTTGTTGCGTAAAACTAACCCATATTTGTATACATGAATAGAAAATCTATGAAAACTTTCTACAGTTAACTACTTTCTACAGTCACTAAGTTATTCTGTGACGTAAACAAGTTTCATAATTTTTCTCTCTATTATTTTGAATTAGCTGAAATGATGGTGAAATATGCAAAACCTGAAATCAACCTTAGGCGGCTTGCAACTTATTCCAAGGGTCAGAATCTGTTGGGAAAAATGCTCATTTAAAGTAAGTACATTTTTCTGTGATTTCATAGCTTACAAAATTGTTTTAATTAATTAATATTTCTATTTATTTAAGGTTTACACCTTGAGCTATTAAATTAGCTTCTTAATTTGTAAAAATCTGATCATCAGATCTTAAGCTATTCAGGATGTTTCCCCCTTTTTTTCTCTTTTTTGCATATTATACTTTAAAAGCTTACATAAAAATACAGGGCGCTTGGCTAATGATTCAGTTTTTTATATTTTATTCAGTTTTTTATATGGTTAATAAGATGCCATTCCTACAATTTTATCCATAAAAGTGTAAATCAAAAATAGAAATATGTCAACAGTAGTCAAATATATGTCAAATGTAGTTTATTTCCATTGCATTTAAAAAATAAATGAAACTGTCAAGGGGATAGCATTTGTCTTTATTAAATTCAAATTTCAATCAAATCAGTTTCTATTTTTTGACTTATACAATAAAAATTCGATTATTTATCTATTTAACAAAAATTTACCCTCTGTAACTATTTCTTGTTCACATTGTTTTATGAATAAAATTTTTATTATTTCAGGAATATTTTTGTTTTATAATTAGTATTAATTATTTATTAATAATTATTTTTAATAATAATATTAGTAAAAATTCAATTATTTCATACATAAAAATAGTGTAAAAGAAATAGGCTCTATGGGTAAATTTTTTTAATACCTAAATATTTAAAACAGTTGATCCAAATAATTTAGTAAAATTTGGGACAAAACACACTTAGCGTTCTTTAAAATTTATTTTTTAGTAATTTATACTTTACAACGTAACATAAAAAGTTATGAGAAAACATTTATCTTGAATTGCTAAAATATATATAAAAAAGACATTGAAAAAAAAAATCCTTTATAAGAATAAATAAAATCCATACAACCAATTAAAATATCACCATAAAATAGTGTGCTAGGCACTACAAATGATTCTTTAAAAAACAATAGTAGAAAAATGATAGGTTGCATAACTACTGTACATAAATGTAGTTCATTCATGATTTTTTGAAAAAGTGTGATGCAAAACACACTTTAAATGAATCTAAAAGTTACTCTTGTTGTGAAAATATCTCTTTTATGTTTACAAGAGCTTTGATGGTTTTTCAGTTGTAATGATTGATGAGATGAAATTTAATATGCAGCAGGTATTATGTTTCTGGAGGCATTTCAGCATCTTGGTCCTTTTCCCCATCATAAAACTCGTTAGGAGGTTCCACTCTAGAAAAAAGTAATCAGTAATGGAATAATCTATTGAAAATTAACCATAATGAATTTTAATTCTAAGAACTGAAATTCTTCCTCTGTTACCACCATGATAAAAAAAAATTATTGAACATATAAGCCAAAATCAAGCCAAAGTAACAATCACAAGGATCTATGTAAGCCCGTTAATTTTGAAGTTGTTTTTTAATATCTCATTTAATAATGCCGTGAAATCAATTGAATAATTACCTAGAAATATTTGCTTGAAAACTCATATTTAAATAAGCCCAAAAAATATTAGATTAGATAAGTCCATAAAAATATTACACCAGCATAATAATTACCTCCCTGATAAAAATTTTTTTGTGAATATATAAAGCAAAATCAAGCCAAAGTAATAATCATAAGGATCTATGTAAGCCCGTTAATGTTGAAGTTGAAGAAAAAAATTGAAAATAAGATGATTTTAATGTTTTACATGAGCTTTAATCTTACCCCTTCACCTCCCTTGTCAGCAAAAAAATCACAACCCCCTCTCTTATTAGGTGCCTAAATAATTATTGAACTACCCTTAAATGTAGAGATCTACACTTCAACTTATGAGAATCAAAATTAGCCATTAAAAATATAAATATCTTGTATTATTCAAAAGCAACAAATAGATCAAGGTTTTAGAGGAGCAACTTTTTAAAGTTGCTTCTCCTATAAAGGACAATTATTCTTTTAGGAGAAGATTGTTTTTTTTTTTTTGCATAAGCTGTTGTTAGCAACTAAATTATGGTGACAGTAAGAAAAAAAAATTAAATAAATTTGTATTACTTTATATCTATTTCTTCTTGCGTCATTCTCTTATCAGGATCTGGTTCTTTTTCTTCTTCCTCCATTTTAAGACGAAGAAAGTCCTCTGGAACGTCTTGCATTTGTACACTGGGTGAATGCTGGAGACATTTCAAGTTTTCTGTTACATGCTTCACAATGGTTTCCAAATACTAAAAAATTTATGGAAAAGCAGGTTTCATTTCTTTCTTTTTTTAAAAAAAAAAATTAATTTATTTCATATAAATGGGATTATTCTGACTTTTTTTTAAAAACACTTTGATAACTTTCATTTCACAATTTTAGAAATGCGTTATTACATTTATAAATGTAATTATAATAAAATAGTAATGACTATGAAACGATAGCATTACAATGGAATAGAAATGTGTTATTATTGACACTGAAAAAGAGGCTAAAACAAACAAATCACAAAACAGGTTTCACAGATTTTTTAAGACATTTGAAATGGCAAAAAAATTTGTTGCCTTACATCTTAATTGAAGTTTTATAAATAATCCAATATATAAAAACTCAAGATGCATATTTATTAAAAAAAAAAAAAAATCACATTTTTAGATAAACCAATCTATATTTATTTTTGTACGGCTTTTTTTACCATATAAGGATAATTTTATTTCAAAATTGTATGTTCCTTAATAATATATTTGTATTATTATAATAAAAAGTGGCTTTGAAGAGTTTTAGAACTAGGAATTGGTAAAAATTTCGAAACCATTGTTTTTAACTTTTCTACAAATTTATATGTATAAAAAATATTAAATGTTCACTACCTTATTTGAGCTCCAAAAAATCAAAATGATTTTTAATGAGAGATTTCATAAGTGCTTTAAGCACTAGCATAGGTTTGCTAAAAACTAATTGTTATAGCAATATATTTACAATAAATTTCAAAAGTAAGAAAATCAATAAAAAAGTTTTTTTAATCCTCAAATATTACAATGTTTGTATATTTTCAAATCTACTTCTCTTTAAAAAATTTAATTTAAATCAGTGATTATCTAAAATTTATTTTCTTAGAGTGTAGTTTTTTTTAGTATATATTAATAATTTTTCTTCTCTTCAACACATAAAAGAATATAAACATAGAAAAAAAAAATACTTATTCCTCCTTTTTCGCACTTTGCATCCCCCTCATCGAAAAAAAAATTTACTTTAGTAAAACATAAAGAAGAATGTAGAATAATAATTCCATACTTGTTTAGAATTAGCATTATCTTGCTTTGTGTTGACATCTGGGTGAAGAGTAAAATCAGGTGCAAAATATTCAAAGTATTCTAAATAAATAAAAGCAGAAATTTAATAGAGATAACAGAAAATTTTTTTTTTTCTTAATATATAGATTTAAAAAAAAATATTGATTAAATAGTTAAAGCATAAAATTTTATTAAAACACTTGTAAACAAAAATCAATCATACTCAGTTTAGATAAGTAAGCAAGAGTTAAAACGTTTCTACTGCTCAGTAGGAATTTAAAATCAGAATGTAAATAAAAAAAATTATAATAAAGATCATTGCAAATTCCTTAAATATATTAATTAAATTTAAAAAAAAGAGATTAAAAAACAATTTTTAATCCTTATTTTTTTAAAATTGTTTGAAAATTTAAAATTTAACAAAGAAAACTTTATCTCTCTATATAAACAAATACGAAGAAAAATTAAATTTTAAATAATTAGTAGTAACTACATAGCCAAGAGCTAAAGTTATTAACTTTATAAATAACATAAAATAAAATTGACTGATTCTTGTAATGAATGAATTTTTGAATTAATTAATTTTTTACTCATTTTAGGAAATATTCCTTTCATTAATTTTTATAAAATTTGAATTTGTAAAAAGTATTTTGTCTCACACTCAGAGCCTGTAGTTGAGAAATAAAACAGACAAAAAGAAATATTTAGAAATTCTTCCTCTGAAAATGCCTGAACTAGATCAGTAACTCACTTTCATTTTAATTTAATGATTATTATTTTGCTATTCACCATCCCTCTCAAAATGTAATCCATACCACTAGATTTTCTCATACATATATCAGTTATGTAACTTTAAAAACAAAATTATATTTCAAAAGGTATTATTAAGTAATTAAATATTGATGCCCCCACCATCTTAATGAACTCTGAAGATGTGCTTAGATGTTCATCCAATTTGGGTATCCAATAAACAAACTCAGTAAACAAAGAGCAAGGAATTATTTTTCTTTGATTGCACCAAGTTTTCTAATAATTGTTGCAAACAAGCAATAAATAACTAAACAGGGTAAGGAGAGGTACATTCACAAACTTTACACATTCACTATTTATGGCTTACACTCACAACACTTTCTCATAAAATATGTAGGAGACTATTTTTTTTTTCTAAATTTCTAGCTTATTGAATAAAACAAAACAGGGCTCTTTTGTAAAGCTTTATCCCTTTGTTCATCGTGGAGTTTACAAAGGCAATCTCTCATTCATATACTAATATAATTATTTTTTTAAAATTTAATCAAAAGATTAACTAGGTATTATAAAAAAACTTACAGAAACAAATTATAACAAAACAAATGTAATTTATAATTTTAAAACATTCTGTCACATAGAATACATTTTAAATTGCTATAATGAGACATGTTGCGGCTAATAATTTTTTTCACAAAAATAAAATACAAATTACATTCATAAGAATTGCTTGCATTTTCATTTATTTTAAAAGTAGTATTAATTACCATTATATGGAATTTCACTGCTAATGTTTTCCTCCACTAAAAGTGATGTTTCATAGGTCCAGCACCTTGACACATTTCTCACTGTGTAACCACCCCCACCCAGAACAAGGAGAGGCACGTTCAGTTCCTTCACAAATTTTACACATTCGCTAAAAACAAATAAATGTTACGAACATCAAGATAAAAAAAAAAAAAAAAACATTTAAAAATTCTCATTGGAAGAAAAATGTCAGTCAGAGCTTTAATGTATTGAATCTTAACCAGTAGTCATAAAAACTACATTATTTTTGCAGTTTACTATAACTACTTTGTTACAAATATAGTTAACTACAACTACAACTACTTTTTTTAAATGCAGTGACTACAAACTACTTTGGAATTGTAGTAACTACTTCATTACTTTATAGAGACGAACACTGCTGGAGAAATTAATGTATATGTCTGTAAAAAATGGTTTTAAATAAGAAGTTGGCTTACATTAAATATAAGGGAATAAGTAAGAAATATTTATTCCTGTTTATATGAGTAAATTTGTTATTCCAAAACATTTTTTTGTCGAATTTGTTCACTTAACCTTAAACTTTTTCGACAGCGAATATTTAATTTCAGAAATGAGAAAATTATTAAATAATTGCTATTTTTTAATTGTTTAATGCTCTTTTATTTTCTAAGAAATTAAGTAAATTAAAAATACAACCCTTTTCTTTAAAATAACATCAATGTTTCATGAGTGTGCATTAGCGTTTGAAAGTGTGACCAAAATGATTAATTATCTATTTTTCATATTTTCTGGTTTAAATATTAGTTATACTTGATTTTGAATACTTAATTTCTGTTACAGCTCAGTTGCAGCCACTGGGTCATTATTATTGCATCCATTGATGGATCAGTGAAGATTTGTACCCACCAAATTTGAAAAATTAGTTGCACTAGAACCGTGTTTCTTTTATAAACTAGTTTTTTAAGATAGTTGTCAGGAATTGCAACAAACTATTGTTTTTTGTACCGCACAATTTACGGCATTACGTTTTTAAAAAAGTAGCATGCTACACTACAAACTACAAAAAAAAAGCTGCGACAACAGTAGTTTCACTACTTGTAGTGCGCAACTTCCGACCACTAATCTTAACTATGCTCAAAATTCTAAAGATTTCCTCACTTGTTTAAAAGTGTTAAATTTATTATTTTAATAATTTATTATTAAGGGAGTAAATATTAAATTCAAATACTGATATTATAAAACGTATAAAAGTATAACAAAGTTATAAAACCTTATTTATTAAATTTTTAACAATTACAGATAATGTATAGGTACATACTGACTGATTAAATAGATATTGGATGACTTACCCATGCCCTTTGGTACTTAAAGCAAAGCAACCTAATCGATCTCCAGCCAAAGAGTCAGAACCACACTAAAATTGATTAGATAATATGTGAAATTACTAACAGAACATATTTAAGAGTTGAACTTTTAAGCAAACAAAAACATACTAGTTACAGAAACTTTATTTTTTAAAACGGCAAGCACTGAACTCTATGAAAATACTTAAAAGACCACATGTTATGTGGTACTGAAATGTTATTACGGTCCTGTTATCTCATAGAAATGCAATGGAATCTCAAAATTTCATTATTTCATGGAATAAATAAAATGAAAATTTAATTATAACATTATTTTCAAACATTTTAATAAGTTTAAATTACATATTTTATAAATGTATTTGATATTTCCAAATAGCCAATTATATCATGACAAACTTTTTATTTAAAAATGGATAGTTGAAAGTTTGTAACATTGTATACAAACAATGTATGACTAGAAAAACAAACTAATTATTATTAACCTACTCAAATTTTTGGCTGTCTAACATGGAGAGAAACTTATCCGTGGAGTAAAAAAAAAAACTACGTTCTAAATTGTCACTTCATGTTTAACTGAAAAAAAAAAAAAGAAACTTGGTGTCCCTCCTGAAATATTCTTTGCATTTAGGTACATTTTTAAGTGTATATAAAATATGTTTCATTATTTTAGGTGAAACCAGAAATAATAAAACTTGATGTGTACAAATATATGCAAGTGACATATATACTTGAGGAAGGTTAACACTCAAATCTGGAAAAAAAATATCCTGTTTTCCCTGTACACATTATATTATGTATACACAATATATTAATTATACAATTATTATACTGTATACACAATATATTAAGAGGAAACATAATTACTGTGCTCTTGTGTGAGCTATATTGGGCTAACTATACTATTTTTAATTGCTGGAAAAACTTAAGAGAAAAAAATGGAACAGCTGAACATACTTAAATATTGCCATAGTAAATTAAATAGTTTAGAATAACTAAAATATCCCTAAATATCCCATAGATTGCAATTTGAATAATCACCATTTTTAATACTAAAATAAAAAACGAAATTCCCTGTCTTTTCACAGTTTGTATAGAAAAAAAATCAAAATTCCCTGTATTTTCCCTGTTATTTTAGATGATTTTTTAATTCCCTGCATTTTCCAGGTTTTCCCTATTCTCCCTGTGAAATGGCAACCTTGTTCAGGTTTTACGTACTCCTATTTTTATAACTAAATTATAAAATATAAATTTAGTATATATAACAACGAGAAAAGCTTTATTCTTTGGGAAAGAATATGAATGAAATACTTCTGCTTTTTTTTTGAGTTGTTCTCTTTCACAAAATAAAGAATTGTGAAGAGTTGATTAAAGTTCTAAGCTGTCACTATGATTTTCTAATTAGCAGATTTCCCAAACTAGTTAAAAGACAGATTTTAAGAAAGATACAATATTATATCATTTCACTCCCTTAGTCATATAATTCAAATAGAGTAAAGTTATTATTCTTGCATGAAAACAAAATACTACTGACAAAAAGTAAAAAAGATTCTAAACTAAAATTTTCTTACACATTTTAGTACATTTGATGCAATATATATGAAAGATTTTCATTTGATACAAGTAAAGTGAAAAATAATTTTTATTTTGTTTTAATAACCAATATTGCTAACCAAAAAAAAGTTACATTTTAATGCTTAAAAGTGTTAAAAAATAATAACAATTATTTAGCACAATAAGGACTACAATTTAGTTAAACTAAATACCATTGTTCTTACTGTTACTGAAATTGATTTAAAAATTTTTCAATTGAAATGTAATTTAGTGGTTAAAAGTTTCTTCTCAGACCTGTCTGGAAAATATATATTTTAATGTTATTACTCTCCTAGACTTTTTTTTTTTTTTTTTTTTTTTTTTTTTTTTTTTTTTTTTTTTTTNTTTTTTTTTTTTTTTGTAATATAACTTATATAAATCACCTTTATGATAATTAAAAGGCAATATATATATAGAGAGAGAATCTAAAAAATTAATCTATTATTTTAATTACACATTATGTATAAAAGAATGAAAAAAAAATGTTTTATAAGCCTACGTAAGCATGTATGAAATACAATTTATCAACTAGGGATGAAATGAATAGTGATATGACATAATAGCCGATTATTAGGCCAAAAAAATTGACTGAATATTCAGTGGCCAAATAGCAAAATTATTATTTTTTTAAATATATTAATAAGTTGAGTTATTCTTGAAAAATAATCTAAATTTAGCTGTATTATTGGTATGAGGGGGCTGTGTCATAATAAAAATCTCTATAAAAATAAAGATTTTTTAAAAATTTTTTTTAAAAAAAAGCTAGATAGAAACCAAAACAAAAATCATTCCTAATTTTTAAACAAAAAATATAAAACTAAAATTATTCATACAATTTAACTAAAATTATAAAATTTTTTAATTGTGTAAAACTATACAATTATAGTATTATTAGAAAAACCATAATTTAATAATGTTTATTAGCAACGCTCTTTAAAAATTGCTGTATCATTACATAAATACTGATAAAAAGAAAAGTTAATATAAAAAGCATATGAGAAGTAGAAATTTTTTTCCTCTTAAATCTGAAAAATAACTTTAATGTTGAGAATCAGAGTTTCTGATGCTATCGGTAATCTGTCTTACCATACAGAAAAAAGTGACAATAAAAGTCTATTAGAAAGACTCCGTTAAAATGCTGCACTATAGTCAAAACAGGAAAACAGCAGAAATGAGACAAACAAAATAAAGTTTCAAATATTAAAAAACAAAAAGTGTCGAAAAAACAATGAAGTTGATTTGCCTGAATATAATAATAATATTAAAAAAAAACAGCATCGCAAAATTAATGATTTAGTATATAGTTATCTAGTTTTAATTTTTCAAATTTCGTTTTCCTATTTGTCTTTCAAAATATAAATTATTTCTAATAATGTATAGTAAAAAAAAAGAAAAAAAAAGAAACGATTTTATATAACTCTTTATAATCTATTCAAATTTGACATATTTGGCCTATCTATTCAAATTTGCCATATTTGGCCTATCTATTCAAATTTGCCATATATATCGAATAGTAATATTAAGACGAATATTTGGCCAACCGAATATTCAGCAAGAGGGTCGAATATTTGTTACATCTCTATTATCCATAATATATAAAAAAGAGATACCTGCAAAACAATACATGTAGGCTGATAAAATTCCATAACTGCTTGTATAACTGGCTTAAACGTTTGAAAATAACCTATTAAAAAGAAGTATAACAATTATTAATGTAAGTATCATTTTTACTATATCACATTTAAATGTCAATTTAAAGAATATACCGTGTAAAGTATTTTAAAGATTTTTATTGAATGTCCTGAAAATACCAATGATTTGAAAAAAGAAATCAAGTTAGATAGAAATATAATGTTATCTGTGCTTTACTGAGAAAACCAGTTTTTTGTCCAATAAAATTTCAAAATTGCTAACAAAGTCCATCAACAAATAATGCTGCTAACTGAGAAGAACTGTAAAAAATGTTCTTAAAATAACCACAGTATGCAGCTATTACATGCTACAGTCTGAGGACAAAACTAACAAATATTTTACTTTCATTCCATGTTTAGTTTCTGAAAAGCATCTATGTTTAGTTATAGAAAAAATGAATCTCTTAATTTACACGACAGAAAATTTACTACTAATAACGAAAAGGTCCTTATTTTGGTAAAAAACACTATGCTTCAGTGTGCAGACCTGCAGAAGGTGGAAGAGTAAGATAGGGGCTTTTAAAACCCTCTGCCGGTAACTTGAGCCAAAATGAGGATTCACTCTTTAATAATGACTTTACTTTTGATGAATTGCGAAAGGCAATGGAAGAAACGAAGAGAGGTAAAAGTACTGGGCCAAATGATTTACCTGCTGACTTATCAATAATGGCTGGGTGATTCTTTTTCAGTGTCTCACTAGCCACTGCGGCATTCCTGGAAATGAGAGAGCCGATCGCTTGGCAAAAAGCGGCTGTAGACTTCCTCAACCCGCTTTTGCTTTCTCCTACAACTAGATCTTCTCCATCATTGTGAGAGTGATAGACAGATATATAAAGAATGCGCAAGATGTGGATGCTGCAAGAAAGATTTGGTCTTGCCTCCTCCATAACCCTGCAGATTTTTCATGCCAAATTTTCGTGCGTAGACTGTTCACGACTATCTTTAGACTCATCTTCACCGGATTGGTGTTTCGAAAGCTTCTGACTGCCCTCTGTGCTCTTCAGGCAAAGTAACGAGTTTTGAACACTTGACAAATTGTGCTTCGATGACCAATACAATTTTACTTATTGACCGCTAGAAGGGAAATGGCACATAAGGCCAACCTCCCCAAGTAGGAAAATTTTTTTTTGTTTCTTTGTAAATATTCTAGTTTCCGTTTTCCAACATGCAGAAGATATTGTTTTATATTTTTTCCAGTCAGCAAATACCATTGGTTGATAAACTTAGCAACTAGTTGTGAAATGCACTGATAAGAAAGTTTCTGATTTCCCCAGAAGAATGCACTTAAGTTTCTCTAACAATTATGTCATGTAACAGTGTCTATGTAACCACTGTCAAATTGCATAATCTCTGTTCTTACTGATCAAGGCGTATCTATGTGAAGCTGGAACAAGTTTAGATTTTACTATTTGAGATCTTAAATGTCACTTTTATAACATAAAATTAATCTCATTATTTCATAAAAAAGACAGTCTTAACTTACTGTGATCATCAATTCCTTCTTTTAGAGGAACATTAACTGAGTAATAACGTCCACTTTCTGCACCAATTTCATACATATCACCTAAAAATATATTTTCCTTTCATTTAATAAAATAAACAATTTAATCAGAAATTAATTCAGTTTACATTATTATCAAAATATCCTTAACCATGTGAGTGTTTCATTCAGAGTTTCTCACTATTTAATATGGTTGCTTTTCTGTCTAATAAAACAGTTTTTCTAATGCCATTCAATGAGAAAGGGCAGAAGGCACAGTTTGTTTTATTTTTAAATTTACATTATAATGATGATCTTGCATATAATTTAAATATAACTTTTACCATATAGAAATAAGCATAATATCCCATTTCAGAGGGAAGGGGAAAAAAGAGGAAAGAAAAGCCGAAGTGAGAATTAGAATAAATTATGGCATAGATTTTAGTGTGAGTAACTTAATTCAAGTGTAAGAATCAAGCTTAGTTATATTTCTTTTTGAATCACCTTTATGAAACCTTCAGCTTTAAAGATAGATCAATACACTTATTTTTAAAATTAATTTTTATTTTAATTTTTCATTAAAGCTCAAAATCTATTTTTTTTTTAAACTTCCTTAAATTATTTTAAAACACTTATTTTTTCAATATTATTTGCTTTTAACTTACTAAAAACTATTTAAGAAATAAAATAAACCCTTCCTTCATGATTATTGAAAAAAAATACTTCACTTCCTCCAGGCTCTAACATAAAGGTGTATAACTTCATTTCAGAGGATTCTCTTTAACATAATTTTTAAAAAAAAAAAAAAAAAAAAAGGATATTTCCTCTTCTTTTTGAAAAAAAAAAAAAAACTTCTATTTTTGATCATATTGTGTGTACATGATACAAAAACATTATTTTTCCACACTGTTTTTATTTTATTTTGGAAAATCCATTAGTAAATAAGAAGAAAATTCCTTTTTTTAAAGTATTTATTTGTTTAAAGACTACTATGTCATGTTTAAAGACTACTAATATTTAGAAGTGTTTAATTTTATAAAATTATATTAGTATGCTCAAAGATGTCTATATACTCTAACAAGGGAACCTTTCATCCATCTGTTTACCATTGAACTGGCACTTCCCTTCAAAAATTGTGCACTCTAACTTTTAGTAGAAACTTTTTAACACATTTTTACTCTTTAGAATTAAAAGGTACTAACATTAAACCGATTCTTCCCCATTACAAACATTCAACTATCTTTTAACTTAAAAAAAAAAGAGACTTCATATTATATTTCTTACTATACTCAGACATTGTTTTTTAAAATAATAATATACCAGTGCCAGGGAAAAAGTAGTTTCCATATTTATGGAATGACACAGTCATCACTCTATCAGTGAGGTAAAAGGCTTCTTGAACACCATCTCCATGATGAATATCAATGTCCACATAAAGAACACGAGGATGAAATCTAAAGAATCAAATAAATAAATATTACATATTTAGAACAGAAATGAAACTATTTTCTACAACAGTAGTTCCTAAAAAGTGTGTGTTTTTTAAAAAAAAAATCCATCAGTATTTTTAATCAAAATTTTCATAACAAAATTTGAGAAAAAAGAATTTTATTTTTCTGATAGCCATTCTCAACGTTAATTAAAGTTCTTTTTTTGAAAAACATTATTCAGCTTAATATATTCATTTTAGCTTATGTATACATCAAGAATAAATTCCAATTTTGCTCTATTTTCTACAAAAAATTATGTCAAAAGTAGTTTTTGAAATTTGCAAAACATACAAAATGGTGCTGTAGAATAAATGTTTAAATAACAATTATTTTTTCCTCTTGCTAATATGTAGAAGATTAAAATTGAAAATGATGCCAAGCAGCTTATAAAGCATCATGTTCACTTACATTCAGATTTAATTTAGCAGCAAATAATTTAATCACATTGTAGTATAATTTATTTTTTTAAAGAAATAACAAATCACAACACATTGAAAACTTAATTTTGAATTCCCTTAAATACTTATAACGTTACTGCTGATTTCAGATTAAGGTTTTACCGGGTAATGGAAAATATAAAATAGAATAACCAGAATTTCTTGACCCCCCTGTTTTAAGGAATAGGTCCTGTTCAAAGTAAATAAATTGCAAATGCTAAAATTTTTCACCTTTTTTTTCTCAATAAATATAGCATTTCTTAGGCATTATATGTATTGAAATTGTATTTGTAAAAAAATATACAGATAAACTGTATTTTCTAAAAGAAAGACATTTGAATAAATTATATACAGAAAAAACAAATTTTCAGCCATACGTTAAACATAAATAATTTTAATAAACATAAAATGTAATTTTTTAAAAAGAATTTTATTATGACATATAACGTAAGTTACAACATTTATTAACATAAAATTTACTGTTAGAGAGAAGTAAGGAATTTCTTTTATTATTAATACAAGCATTTAATTACAAAACCAACAATATCAACATTAAACTTGTAAAGAATAAAATAAAAAATATTAGAAATGCCTACTTCAAAAGTTCTAGAATGGCAATTACTATATCATTTACATAGCAAAATCCAGAGGCCTGCAAAAAGGAACAAAAAGTTACCCCAAAATCTACAATTGAATATTTTAGAAATTATGCAATTATTGGCCCTGGTTTTTAGAAATAGGTTATTTTTATAACCAACAGTCTATCTTTTCATTAAAAAATAAATAAATAAAAATATGCAGTTGATATACAATTATTGTTATTTACAAGATAAAGACTTCAAAAAATAGAGTAAACTTTAACTCAGAAAGAAATTGATCTTTGTAAAATATGAAGGGGTACAATAAAAAAAGAAAACTCAATTAAGAAAAATTCAAAAATTCCACCTGTTTTCTCTGACCAGTTTATAGGTTATTTAAAGATTTTTATAGGTTGGCAAATTTTAAGACAAATCAGAATTCCTTGACTTAGAAAGAAACATTTGAAAAAAAAAAATATATATCATAAGAATTTGAATAATTTTAACATTAATTAAAAAATTTGCAAATAAGAAATTTTTTTTATGCAAGAATTTTATACGTAAATACAATTTTTAAACTAACTTTTAATTAAGAAAACATTAAAAAATCCAGTCTAAAAGTTTACTGATATTAATAAACTTATTATTATTTATAATTTTTAATGAATAAATTAAATTTTAGTACAGATTCAAGAAGTCTTGACAAGAATTGATTTGCAAAAATGTTTAAATGTCTTCATCTGTTTTTCTCCTCAGAATTCCAGGTATTTTTTTGCTTCCAGAGAAACAAACTAGCCTTTTTTCAGAATTGACTGAATGTCTGCACTTTAGCTGTATGCTCATATATGGTATGGTTTTATGAAAATGGTTTTTGGAAGAATATTTTTTATGTAAATTTGTGATATATTATTATAATGTATTTTATGAAAGCTTCTAAGACATAAATTACATTAAGAAAAAAATTATAAATTTGTGAAAAGTATAAAGGATTTTTTTTAATTGTTGCTCTAGACACAAATTTTTTAACATTAGTGTTCTAAAATTTAATATTTCAAATGCCTAATAACATAAAAGCTTTCGCTTAGAAACATTGTAAAGTGACAAAAATTATAAATTTTATTACAGTAATATTTAAAAAAATGTTATTTTACCATTTTAGTAATAGGAACAGTTTCAATTAAGTAAAAGCTTTTTATGAACCACAAAAACATAATATTCATGCATGAAAACTATATACAGTCAGACCTCGATAAAAAGTCACCCTAACGGACATCGCAAAAGTGACCTTACAAGCGGGGTGACCTTTTAACCGATTCATTAGCAGTTCGTAACTAAGCACGTAAACGGTACACATTATGATTTTTTAAAAATGGTAATACAAACGAAAACGATCGGTCATAAATTAAATGTTTAAGCCAATAAATTTTAACCGAATTAGTAAAGAATTAAAGAAAGTTAGATCTTTAAGAAAAATTTTAATTTAAAATAAAGCTGTTTACAAATTTCCTCAAAGTGTACATACATACATTACATATTTTATTACCGTATTTAAAATAAATCATTTATGCGGGTCTGTCTCGTTTTTGGTTTTCATATTTCGTACAACGGTTTCTAGATTTTTGTAAAAAAAATTTGCATGACATTTCTTGCATTGAAGGCCTCCGCTTGGGTTACAGCTACAGTCTCAGGATCACTGTCATTGTCCTCACTGTGAGACAATTTCAGAGATTGTAATTTGTTCGTTGGTTGCAACATTTTCATAGAACTCGAGATGGGTAATTGCCTTGTAAAGAAGTTAAATAGGCTTTTATAAAAGAGATCTCCTCGCCTCATATAAAAATGACCTTATAAGCGATAACGATTTTTAAAACTTGACCATATATCCGATAATCTGTAACATAGAATTCCTATTCAGTGAGCCGGGACTTTGGAAAAGTGACCTTATATGCGGGGTGACCTTATATGCGGATGACCTTATATCGAGGTCTGACTGTATTATAATATAGAATAACAATGTTTATCTTCGTTTTAAATTTTAAGTGTAGGAAAAATTATTTTGATTCCAATGGAATACAATTAAAGATAATTCCTTTAAAAAGTAGGTTGGTAAACAATAAATTTAAAAATTAAACATATCAAATTTTTTCATGAAAACTTACTTCAAATTTCTTAGCATGATGTAAACCTCCAGACCAATTAATGGCAATATCACAGCACTGAAAAAATATAAAATATATTTCTACCATTTCAAACTAAGGATGTGGTTTTCTGGTAAACCCCTCTAATAATTTTACTCAGTGTACATTATGCATGTAAATTATGTACAGTTCGAAACTTGATATTTAAAAATATACAGGCAAGAACAAATTATTTAATATTTTAATTATATAACATTTAAAGTTACATCCAACATCTTATTTAATTGAACAGAAATGTAACCTAAACAAATTATAAATTTGTTTAGATTACAATGAAAGAATAGAAACAAATAAAAATTATATGTTAGAAAAGACGCATATAGCAACAGTAACTACACCCTTTGATTTAGAAATATACCCTCAAGAATCTATCAAAAAATCAAGAATTCTATTGAAATAGAAATTTTTTTAAAATTTACATGCAATTTTGTTATTTGGTAGAATTTTTTCAATAATTTTAAAATAAATATAATATTAGGGACAATTTTTTTCACTTTTTACTCAAATTAAAAAAAGGAATAAGAAAAAGAATAATTGAAACTTTTTAAAATGTTTACAAATGGTTATAAACAATTAAAAAACGTAGATACTTAGAGTTTGAAATAAAACAAAATTTAACATTAGTAACTTAATCTAAGATTAAAAACTTTAACCATTTTACTAATAAATATTAATGATTTGTTAAATATGTGTTTTTCGTATTTTAAGTGCTATATTTGTATTAAGTGCTTAACTTACACAATATATATATTTTTCTTTTGCAGAAGAAAAATAGTATAAAAAAAATCCCAAAACCATCGGAAAAAGATTAAACAAAACCCACTTAAATTAGCAGAATATCTAGAAACTGATAGAGAAAGAGAAAGAAAGGAGAGAAAAAAACTTTAAAAATAAAAACAGCAGCCAAGAAGGAAAAACAATTGCAGTAACAAAAACAAACTAAGAGAAAAAGAAAATTGATATTACCTTCTTAAATATTTATTTGCTAATAACTATTTTATTATTATTTTTATATTATTACTAGTACTATGTTAAATAAAAAAATCTCTGCTCTGCAAATATTTGTGTCGGTCATTCATTGGCCATGCAAGCCACATACACAAAGAAAACTTTCAATATTTCCTACACAGGCAAGAATTTAGTAAATAATTCAATTTTTTCAAAGAATACTTATTTAAACATGTCGAACATAAAAAATGTATGTCTTTTCTTATCACACCCACAACGTGTTGAAATAATTTTTTTAATAAATAAATAAAATATTGGACAACCCGTAGATTTGTATGAATGTATTTGGAAATGAAATACAATGAAATCCACAAAAATTTAAACCATGGCTCTAAAATATTTTAGCTAATGACAAAAATAGTTTGTGTAGATGTCACACCCCCAACTTTGGATAGGGGAAAAAAATAAAATGCAAAACTCCCAAATTCATCGAAAAAAAGGTAGGTTTTTTCAGAGAAAGTACATTTTCATGTCTGATTTTGTAACTTAAAATATCATCTACACTTATTAATAAGCATATTTGAAGTAACCACCTGACTGAGACCGATCATTAGATCGAAAGTTACTTAGGGTGATCCTTTTTTTTTGCACACTTATTTTATTTAGAAAAAAGTCAATACGTAGAACAAATCAGAGCACACACAAAAATAAAATTACAATATAATGAAATCCATAGAAAAAAAATCATTGTTATAAAGGATACCTAACATTGAAAAAATACCTGATTATTAAGGCGCATAGCTCCTTCTAATGAAGCTCCTGTGTACATTGAACAGAAATCAAATAAACCATCAAAAACCGGACTGGAAAAAAAATATAAAAAATTCACTTCACAACCAGAAAAAAAAAAGAAGATCGCAAGATTATTTAATTTAATTTTACAGGAATAAAAAAATAAAACTCAAAATTAGATCAGAGATGCCAACCTGGAAATCTTAGCTATCCACAATATGTAAAGTAGTAGCAAAATAACTAATAACATTCAAGTTTATTTTGTTTAATTTTACTAGCAATTAAAAGTTTTACTACATAATTATTAAAGTAGTATGGCCTGAGTCTTGATAATTTGAGGTTGACGGGACAGAACCTACTTCGGACATTCGAAATCATGAATTATCGAAAACATAAATTTAATAAATATTTATATAAATGGCAACAAAGCAAATTTTAAATTTCAGTTTTTAATTGAAAAAAATATTATATTCAAAGAAAAGTTACTTACATTAGGGGATTAGGGTACATTTACTGAATTACACTAAGTTACATTACTGCATCAGGTCAATATAATTCTCTAATTTTTTTTGTTTAATCACACTGTTTGTTTTTCAGGAAGCAATATTGCATCATCATATCACATTGTTGACTGGAGTTGCCTCATGTATCGTATTACAGACTCTAGAGTGTCAAGATCCTCACTGTAACTCATTCATTGAGTGGAATCTGCCGGATTCTCCTCTGCACTGCTCTCTTGCATTTCCGGAGCCCCGATCATTTCTATAATGGCAGCATCTGTAAATTCTAATTATTTATCCCTATTTAGCCATTTGTCTATCACTGTCACTCAGGTGTTTTCGCAAAATGAAATTTTTTTTTTATTAGGCTGAATCTGGAATCAGTAATAGCATCATTCATCAACGATGTGATCGGTACCTGTAAATTTGTTTTTCAACATTCAGTCACAGTAATCATTGAAAAATCAGTTGTAGTAATCATTTCATATGTTGTTTGTGCGTTGGTCATTATTTAGGAGCAAGATAAATTTTTTTTCATTAGCTCAGATTTATGGGAAACTCGAACAATCGAGACTCTACTACATTATATTACATATTTGTTCAAATTGTTTATAAATAGTGGTAACCATTGTAAATTAATTTTATCAAATAAAAATAATTGGATAAAGCATAATATTTTCAATAAAAATCTCCTTTGACAATGAGAGAAGTTGGCATGCATGCAGGGTTCACTTCACAAGAATAACAGTAATAAAAATATTCAAAATAAGATTTATTCACAGGAATGTAAAAAAATTTGTAATTCATTTAAAATTTGCAATTCATATAAAAAGTGGTGGTTAATTTCATAGAAATAAAAATAAGATTCACTTCAGAACAAAAAAAAAAAAAAAAAAAAAAAATTCGAATAAGATTCACATCACAAGAAAGAAAAAAAATTAAAATTAGATCTGAGAAGTCTTAGCTCCCTACAATAAGTAAAGTGTTAGTGTAATAAAAAATAAAAGTAAGCTTAATTTGTTTCCTTTTGCTAATGTTTGTTGTTTCCTAATGCTTTTCAAATTAGTCTAAGTAGTAATTAGTCAAATTAGTCTAAGTATCTAAGTAGAGGTAGTCTTTGTAAGTTAAACAAGTCAAAAATAATAAGGAAAAGCATAAAATTTACCACAACTATAAATATTCAAGAAAAATCTCCTTTGATAATGGGAGATGTTGGCATGTAGGTAGGATTCATTTCACAGGTGTAATAGTAATAAAAAAACTAAAAATAAGATTCATTCACAGGAACATACATAAAAAAATTAAAATAGATTCATTTAATAGAAATAAAAAATAAAATAAGATTCACTTCACATGAATAAAAAAAATTAAATCAGAGAAGTCTTAGAGAGACCCAGAAGTCTTAACTTCCGACAATATGTAAAGTGTTAGTAAAATAACAAATAAAGTAAGTTTAATATATTGCTTCCTTTTGCCAAGCTTCACTTTATGATAAATTGATCTTTTACTACATGTTTGTTCAATTTGTTTGTAAATAGTGGTGGGCATTGCAAGTTAAATTTAATAAATCAAAAATAATAGGGGAAAAAATAAAATTTACTACCATTTTAAATTTTCAATAAAAACAAGAGAAGTTAGATTCACTTTACCTTTTAGATGTAAGATTCACTTTAACGAAAAGAATACTAGTGATAATAATAACATTAATAAAAAGAATAAATAAAATAATATTCTTTGCACAGGAATAAAAAAAAATTACAAAATAAGATTAGCAATAATAATGATGTTAAAATAAGATTCACTTCATTAAAAAAAATAATAAAAATATATATTTCACAAAATAATAATGAAACAAATTATTACCAGTCATCTCCAACATTAAAATGGCTTAAACTTTTGTTGAAAGATTGAATGTTATGGGGTGTTACTCTTTGCAGGAAATCAATATATTCATCAGAATGGAAGCGACTCATATCATGTGCACATGCTCGGTAAGGACGGTAAATCTGACAAAAATTTTAAAGTATATAAAAATTAAATAAAAATTTTATGTACCAAGAAAAAAACTGTACCTAAAAATTTTTACAACCCAATTTAATAACAGTAATATTGGAAATATTTCTGCTTAAGATTTTTTATATTTTTTATTTATTTAAGGAAATAATTTTTTTTTTTTTTTTTGACTGGTGAACTTAAAAATTGATGTTATAAACACAGCAAGAGATACTCTAAGAAGTGTCAACTTGCAGCACAATCTTCAGAAATTTAAATTTGTTTGCGATTGTGACACAGTCACTCAAAGAATATAGTAGTAATAATCAGGCTTAATCAAACACATATGTAGCAAAATTTGCACAGGTTGAAAAAAATTTAAAAATAAATAAACTACATTGTTAAAAATTAATACATTTTAATTAGAATTTATACAATGATATACAAAAAAAGTAGAATATATTCAGATATAGCCTGAAACGATGTAACAAAATTATTAGAAGTATATATATTTTTAAAGCTTTTTTTCCAAATTTTATTTATTTATTAAATTCCAGTTAATTAAAGAAAATAATTTTGAAATCAACTCATTTTAGCTTAATATCTGCAGAGTATTATGTATAATAATAGTAATAAATATAGATAAATATAATATATACTTATATACATATATTTATAAATATAAATATATTAACAGTTTTAGGTTTCGTAAGTTTTTGGATAGTTAGCAATAGTTCACACATTCGAAAGGAATAATGCCAATTTGTGGTTTGAATGGTAATTCGTTTCTTTGCATCAGATTTCTAAAGGGAAAAAATAATTTTGTTTGTTTCATCAAGGAATATTAGGAGTTTGTCTAGGTTTTTTTAAGGCTACCTATTTTGTGAAAATTTAGACATAATTTGTGAAAATTAAAAATTTTATTAAAACATCAACACAAAAATATGGTAAATTAAGAAAATATTTTCAAAAATTTTCGCTACAAATAAAAATCATTTATGACTTGTGAATTTCCATACATATTTGTCCCATATGTTCAAAAACAATTTTGCTACAGTAAAACTTTGGGCTTAAATTGTATCCAAATTTAAAAATCCATAAAAATCATTGTCCATAGTCAAAATTCAACTTAATTTAATAAAAACATACATTTAACAGTACTAGTATTAAAAGTTATCTTCATTATGAGAAACATTTTTGACTGTGTCATACAGAAAAGAGTTTCACAGGGAAAAAAAATTTTCATAAAAAAATAAAGTTCTATTAGAATAATGTTTAAAATAATAGTTCAAATTTCAACTTCAAATAAACTTTACAGAGGGACAGCTTTGCCATTTCATTAAAAAAAAAACTCTGCGAAAAAAAGCTCGTTATAATATGGTGTAAGCGACCGGTTAGGCTTACCACACCACATTATCTAACCAAACACATGCAACATATTCGTAGAGCTCTTTTTCCTCAGAAAAGCAATCAAAATAGCAATCCACGGGAGGGTTCCATTGCAAATAAAAATACTTAATTAACGTTTTATTTATCGTTTTTACAGGAATACAACAAATTTCAAGAGGCGTGGGAAAAAGAATCTTAGTACTTGCTTTTTTAAAAGTATTTTGTGAAACTACCATTTTCCCTTAAGATTAATTAGGGAAGGTACTGCTAAACAGTAGTAAATTTGTCTTAGACAGACCCCTGAATATAGAAAACTCACTTTTATTTTATTTTATAGAAAAAACTTTTTTTTTTTTAATGGAAAAGTCTTTTCTCAGCCTTTGTTCTTCTCTCAGCACTTTTGGGCTGTTTTTTCCCTCCACCCCAAACGTCAGATGAAAAACAATCCACAAAGCTCACTAACTGCAGCAGATTTCGGAAAAAATTGTCATTTTATAGAAATTCTATAAAAATTAAAATTGAGTTATGAGAGAAAAATATAGAAAAAGGTTCTGTTAAATACACAGTATCTAGCCAGCTCTAATTTCAGCCTTGATTTGAATGAGGTACACATTTTGATTATGAGGGAAAATATTTTTCTTCCTTTTGAAAATTTATATATATATATATATATATACCCAGAAGCCGAAAGTGCCTAAAACTGTGACGTACGTCACAGAACAAACGAAGTTCTGCAGAACAATTTGTATATTGAATAAGTGGCAATGTTTTCCTTCGAAAGATTTTTAAGGCAGCCCTTATTTTAATGCTCGGATCATCATATCATAGGAATTTTATTAATAATTCATCATCATCATTAACAAAACTTTGTACTTCAAAAGTGATTGAAAAAGTAAAAAATCAAGAATGTTTCCCTTGGTTTAAAAAATAATGTAGTGTATCTGTGTATGATCCTGTATTTTAAAAAATGAAAATATGGTATTTTATCGTGAAGTTGCCTTTTTTTCGCTGTGAAATGCTTGCAGAACATTTGTATAAATTAATAAGTCCTGTTGCAGAACATTTGAAAATATTCTGCTTATGGGGCCAAATATACAAAAATAAAAGCTTTTANTTTTAAGTAATATATGTGTGTGTGTGTGTGTATGTGTTTCAGAATGTATATTCAGATATATGTATCAGAAATATCAGGCCAAGAAATAATTAACCATGAAAGTCTAAGATTCTTATGTTTCACGTATTTTAACAAATATAAAAATATATTCTAGAAAAAAATGTTAGAATACTTCAACTTATTGACCCCAATTAACCCTTAAGAGTCCAAAACTTTTTAAAGTTTATTTCCCATCAGGTATAATTATAATAATTGATTATAAAAATATTAATTATAATCACACACTTAATTAAATTTGAATGAATTGTAAATATGGCAAAAATAAAAACCTTTAAAATAAAACAATTATTTTTGTAGATATATAAACAGCATTTGATCCAGAAAAGAAAAGTGTCATGCCATTAATATGGCAGCATGGTCTGTCAAGGGTTAAAATCACGTATATCTATTAGAATCATCAATGTAGATATCTGGTGTGTGTGATTTTCAATGGCAGATAATGCTATAAATTTTGATTTCAATTGAAATCGGTTGATTCCAGTTAAAACATATTGATATCCACTAGAATCATTCATAGATATCTAGGTATCATATGATTTCCAAGCTAGTAAATGCAATTATTTTTTTTTAGGATCCAATAGCTTGTTTTTCAATGCACATTTTGATTATATGAGCACTAATAATAAATTTTGAGATAGTAAGTGTTGAGCAATCTGAGTTACTATAATAAAATTATATATAGACCAAGAAAATTCTATAACTAGAACTTTAAATGAAACTTTTATTTACCTGCATTTTCTTATAAAGTCCGTAATTCAATACTAAACTATGAGTAACAGATAATCTATGAGGTTTCATAGGATGCCCAGGTCCTATAAAAATATATTAGATTTGGTAAAAAAATTTTTTTAACTCTATGCTTCAAAGCAAATTACAAGAAGAAATATTAATCAGTAATTATATAAATATTTAAAATGCATTAAATAATTAATATTATGAACTTAAATAAAAGGAAATTCAGAGGCAAAAACTTCACTATTTAGTGTTAATTTCATGCAAATTATGTGAAATAATGATTGTTATCAATTGGTTATCGATCGAAATGGGTTACAGGTGGCGTAGAGCAGAACTTTCTAACTATAGCAACACTTTGCATGCTTTCACCATTAGCGTGTGGAGAGTCATAGAAGGAAGTATGTTAGTTTTTGTCTTGAATTTCAAATTGATTAAAATCTCTTAAGTTAGGAAACTATACAGAACAGAACTAAAAGAAAGCGTCATGGAAATTTAAAAAAAAATATTTTTAACAATTAAATACAAAAAATATTAAGAAAAGGAAAAATATAGTAGTACATTCTTATACAACTGAAAAGAGGAGGAGAGGAAAAGGCCAAAAGCATGGTGGCTCCTCAGATGGCATTTTCGAGAGTTGCAATCACCTATTATTTTCTAAAAAATATCAATCATTATTACACATAACTCGTATGAAATTCTGATAAATAATTAAGGGAATCTTTTCTAATAGACTAATTTTGATAACACATAATAAGAAAAGGTTTTAAATATCCTGTTTTGTACAAAAAAATTTTCAAATGCTTTTTAACATTTACAACATACTTGTATTATAAAAAAGTTCTTAAAACACAGGTTTATAATGCTTGAAAATTAATTATGTTAAAATTGATATTCTTATCAAAAATCTAAAGTAAAGAAAAAAGTGAGTTTTTGATTCCTTAAAATTTATTAGATAAACTTACATTTCCTTGCAAATGTTTATTATTAACGATTATTTAGAAATGGTGTTTTACTCAACATATTTAACAAAACTCTCAGAGTGTGTATTTTCACACTATATGTAATATTTTCAGAAAAAGCACAAATGAATGCATCAAAAATTGTTTAAAACTCAAACACTCATGCAAATTGAGCTACTTTTTCAAAATGATATGTTATTCAAATTACAGAACAATAAACAATTTATTTAAAAAAATTAAATCTCATACTTGGCAGGCTCAATTTTTTGTAAATCCACGTCATTTAGCAAATCACTTTTATTGTCGTTAATGCTAGGTACAGATTAAGACAAGGTTTTTAAAATCCTAATGATTTTAATGCAATATTGTTTTAAAGCAAAAATTTTGAAAGGTAAGAATTTGACACACTTTAAAACAAATTTACATAAAAATGATCAAATTTATTGCACTATTAATTATTTTTAGGTTGAACTGTTTCTGTTAATTGGGATAAGAACTTTGAATTTTATAAACCATTTTCTTGCAAAATTCAAATAGTTCCATTTTGCTAAAAAATACCTATTTTAAAAGGGTACCACACCTTTATCAATTTTTAGTGCCCTGCTTTTCTTAAGTTTTTTTAAAATTAATTTATTGCAAGTCTTTGCTCAATATTTGCCCAAATCTTGCGACCATTTCATTAAATTTTTCCAAATAACTAAAATAATAAATATTTTAAACAATATCAAAATTAAACACATTCCTACTATTGCTTCTCTGTGCCAATATGAAGATTTATCAAATAAGAAAAAAAAAAAAAAAAACATTTCTGTGTTTTTTAAGTTATCATCCTTAAAGTTTTTAAAACAGTCTCACCCTGCTTGCCCTTTTTGAGAGATGAATGTACCTTTCTTTTAAAATCATTACCCTATTTGGAAAAATGCAATAACTCTTTTTTTATCATTTAAAAAAAAACTGATAGCATCGTTTTCAAGAAGCTACAAATTGAAACAACTACTACAAATTATTTTTATTTCAAGTTAATATTAAGCATTATTAATTACCTAAATATCTATTCATGCATTTTTTTTTAAAGACTCGTTTGAATAATTTTTAACAGAACAAAAAATCACTTTTCACTTTCAGATTGCCTTTATTTTAGATCAAAGCATTGGCATTTTTTTTATATCTATTTACTTAAAGGGAGATCCTTCACCACAAAGAAATAAAATTTTGCAAGAAAAAATTAGAAACTTTGAATTCAAAACTTGCAAGAGGGATGATTTCACAATCGGTATCAATGGCAAAGTAACAGCCAACTTTTGGTGACTTCTGAGAAACTGGAAAAAAATACATCATAGAAGGAGACCAACTAGAAAGGTTTAACTTGTTGACACCCCGAGTAAATATTTCTCAAAAATTTTTGCAAGTTAAAATGTCTTTGGCACCTTAGCAATAGTAGTCGGAACATACAGAAAATAGCAAAAAATTTTGCTACCATGCGAAATTCTAATATTTTTAAACTAAGACAAGTTAAATACATCCAGACGTCTGAAATTCTTACTCAAATACATGATTTTTCCGATTTTAGCTTCATTGTTTAATAACTTTAATACTAAGTTTGTACTCTGCACTAACAGGAAAACATAGAAGGATATTAGAAGCTTCTTATTTAACTTAACAGAAATATTCACTTTCATGCTAAACTCTTTTCTATCTTTAATGATTCTTTGTTTTAACAATAGGGAAATTCATTGTGAGAAATATATAAGACTTTATAGAAGAATCTCCGAATAATATACAGGCATTTATACAACAGTTGCTTAGGTTTCTGATAATTGAAAAGTTATATAAACTAACTTCATACCATAATGAAAATTACCAACATCAGGATCCCAGAAGTAAACCACTCGTTTTCGAGACATAACCACAAATTTATGTTCAGTTATATAGATAATAAACAAGTTATAAACATTTCACTTATTTTTTACTGATATTAACATATTTTTGGCAAGAGTTCTCTTTTAATTATAATACATCAGCGTTAATTTCAATAAAATAATTTATAATTAAAAGTAAAGTCAGATTTAAAACATTGTTTTTACTGTAAGAATTGGGTGCAAAAAAATATTTGTATTGTTTATAAATTTGTATTGTTTATCGAGCAGAATTCAATCCGAACCACGGTTAAATTAAGTCAAAACACTGTACAAGCAGGAAAAATGACATGTTGTAAGCCTAATTTTCTTCGTGTTCAAATATCGCAGATTCATACACTTTGGGCCATTCTTACTGAGTGCGATTTAAAGGACATTCCCGCTGTATGCAGTTCACAACCTCCGCTCACAGTCAAGAGAGAATCTGCTTTAAGGTCTATCGGCGATCGAAATGGGCTACAGATGGCGTAGAGCGGATGGAAACACTTCGCATGCTCTCACCATTAGCGTGTAGAGAGTCTTAGGAGAAGGAAGTACGTTAAGGCCTGTTTACACGGTCCAATTTATTGAATCCGAGAAATTGGACGGATTTCTCTGTCCAAGAAATTGGATGATTCGTTGACACTATCCAAGTTCTTGAATGTCACTGATTCGTTGAAAGAAAAACTTTCGCATGCGCATTGTTCATATTCAACATTATAAAATAATACTTACATAAGTTTAAAATTACTAAATGAATTCAAATAAAATCATAATAACAAAAATAAACCCCAACAGATCAATTTATTTGGACTAAAATACATGAAAACAGACAACAAAACGACATAATTTGCTGCTTTCTTGTTGACATCACAAAACCTAAGACGCTGATTGGTTAAGGGAGAAAAAACTTGGATGGAAAGAACTAGAACATGCTCTACTTTCGTTCAAGAAGTTGGACCAAGTTCTTGGATGACTGTTTACACAATCCAAGCTCAAAGCAAAACAAGTTTTCATCAATATCAACCACTCTCTGTCCAAGAAATTGGATCGTCTAAACAGGCCTTTAGTTTCTGCCTTGATTTTCAAATAGATTAAAAACTTTTAAGTAAAAGGAAACTATTCACGATCGCAACGCTCGTCTACGCCGTCTGGGGAAAAGACCAGTTCCATGTCAAGACCATCACCTCATCCCTTCTCTTTTCAGTTGTATAGGAATGCACTACGATATTTTCCCATTTCTTCGTATTTTTCGCATTTAATTGTCATAAATATTTTTTAAAAAATTTCCACGATACTTTCTTTTAGAATTATGTTCATGTAGTATTGAGTTCCATACAGTTTCCAAACTTAAAAGTTTTTAATCTATTTGAAAATCAAGACAGAAACTAATGTACTTCCATCTCCTATGACTCTCCACACGCTACGGGTGAACGCATGCGAAGTGTTGCCATAGGTAAAGAGTTCTGATCTACGCCACCTGTAATCGCCAATATGAATCTGAAAACTAGATTGAACACAGTTTTAAAAGAAATTGTCGTGAAAATTTAAAAAAGTATTTTTGACAGTTAAATATGAAAAATATTAGGCAGAGAGGAAATATCGTAGTACATTCCTATGCAACAGAGAAGAGAAAAAGAGGGAAGGGGGAGGGTCAAGACATATATATATATATATATATATATATATATATGGCGCCAAAGCTCCACTTAACATTAACCCATAAATTTTAAACTGGGTCAGATATCATATTATATCATTCTATACTACCAAACCAAAGGAAATAATTATAGACAAATTAAGGTGCCCACAATACGACATAATGTGTAAATATGTATATATATATTTCTAAGAGCGTAAATTGCGTTAAAATGGAGATATTATTGCTTATATCATGTATATTTATCGTTTAATTACTGCCCAATATTAATCTACAGTTTTAAAATTTGATTATGCTTTATATAATAACATACTACTAGGAGGCTTCGCACCCTGCTCGCTATCTTGCGCGCCGAATCCTATCAATTAAATATGAAAACTGTTGCCAACGCGAGAAAAGAAGTATCATCGGTTTTATTGATACATACGTACGTATTAGCGTTTTATATAATATAGATAACACTTCTCACGATAAAAGAATTATAGACCAATCAGCTAGCTCTCAATGTATCACAATATGTAGGTATGTATAGATTTCTTAATGCGTATAACAGCGCTAAAATGGAGTCCCCATAACTCCCCTTGATATTTGCCTATAACTTTCAAACAAGGTCAGGTATTATATTATAACTTGCTATAATACAATACCAAAAATAAATAAATAAATAAATAATAATAATTATAGACAAATAAGAGGACCCACAATGTGGCACAAAATATAAGTGTGTATATTTATGTTTCCAAGTAAGTATAATAGCTTTAAAATTTGGAAATTGTTTCTCATATACTGTATATATATATCGACCCGTAGCTTACCTAAATATTAACCTATAACTTTTAAACTCGATCAGGTATAATATACTATAACACCTTCCTTACAAAGGAAAATAATTCTAAACAAATTAGGGGACCCTCCATGTAGTCCAATATAGTTACATTGACAAACCGCAGAAATTACTTTAAAAGCTTGTTATAAGTATATACATGCACATTATATAATGATGCACGTATAAATGTCTAAGTGCGTATAATAGCGTTGCAAATAGAGGAATTGCCATGCGTGACCGGTAGGGTAAAGTGATAAGAAGCATCAAATTACTGGTTCCGAGGATCGGGGATTCGAACTCCGGACATGGTTAATATTTTAATATATTTAATAAAAATATTTTTTTCATTATTTATTTTACAATATTGTGACGTAAATAAAATATTTCTTTACTTAAATTTCTTATT